AAAACTCTTTGTAAACCTACGGATTAACTCTAATCCCAATGTGGCACATTGCCTCAACTATTGCGACACTTTCAAGTTAACTCTAACTTAAATACTCAAAGTACCTAATACAATTGCTTCTATGAAAGCTGAAAAGTGCAACTCTAAAACACCTACTACAATTGAACTAGATTAAAAGAAAGACACAATGGAATTGGTTCTTCTATCTTGTCCAAGTAGCTTTAGGAATGCACACTTGAATCTCACGTAAATTGCTTGCAAAAAGCCTTGCTATTTTGCTCTTCAATTTAGTTTCACTTCTGCGTTTGTGCAATCTCTGTAAAAGAGAACAAGCATTATTATTTATAGAGTTAGTAATCAGAGTTTGACTAAAACTTGAATTGCTGATCCTTAATCAAATTCGAGTCCTAGAACAATTCAAACTCCAATCCTTATTCTTGATCCGGATGTAGTTCTCTTCACATAAGGAGACTTCAACTCCTTATCCTATGCAACCTTTTCGATCAACTCAGAAGAGATTGTTGCTGACCCTTGAGACTTATCTTCACACGTATGTCACATGTATAAGTATATCAACACTGTGTCTGTCTCACATGATGGACCTGGTTCATGACTGAATTTATTTTGTCAATCTTCAAAACTTCATCTGAACTTGGGCCAACAAATTCCCCCTTTTTGATGATGACAAACCCTGTGCTTTTATTGATCAGAGACCCTGTGGAACTCAGCTTAATTATCACACTTTAATTTAACTTATCATTAAGGACCAAGTTTAATCAGGTTATAAATATCACTTTATTTCAGAATACAAAGTAAAGGCACAATATCTCTTCCCCCTTTTGGCATCATCGAAAAGTTACATATGATATGAATCCCAGATGTTAATTATTACTCATGGCCACTGGGGCAACTGCAAGTGAAAACATTATTCAGTAAATCAATAATAAACTTCACAAGAAATTTAGCTATTAAGATCAGAAGTTTCATAAAACAAGAGAAAACAAAGCACATGTCATTGATTAGGAGGTGTTTCTACAAAACAGACCACAAAAAGAAAAACAAACATCCAACCATGAGAAAAAAAAAACAGAGAAAAGTCTCGTATCTGGGTCACTGAGGGGGTTTCTAAACTGGTTCTAGGGCTTGGAGGAACTAGAGGGTTGGGATTGAAGAAGATTAAGCATTGTTTGGAGCATCCCTTCACTCTTTTCCTTTTCCTTTGCTAGCTCTGCTTTGAGGCCATTTCTTTCACTTTCTAGTTCAGCAATGCGAGCCTGGAGCCTAGCAATTTCTGCATCTTTTGTTTCACACTCTAGAACCAATGCCCTAACTTTGTTGTTCATAGGAATCTTCAAGGATGAACCAGGTTCAACTGGGGTTACACTTAGCAGATAGTCACAAGCCTGCAGAGTTTTGATTCCAAAGTGCTCTTTGCTGGAGGCCATCTCCCACTTTTTCAATGGCACATCTAACTTGGCCAAGACAGTTGTCAGTATGAACCCATAAGGTGTGGCATGGGTCTTGGAGCCATTGATGACTCTATCCAGCAGCTTGACAATGAAAGCAGGCCAGTTAATCTACTTTCCTCTCACAAGACACTCCAGAAGGACCAGGTCCATATAATTTGCAGTGTGCCTTCTCTCCTGTCTAGGCAGCAAACACTTGTTCACAAACTCAAAAAGCACCTTGTGCTCAGGCTTCATCTCACTCTTTTGCACAACCTAGCCTCAGGCACTTCTTCAGCAGACTTGGTATCACAGAAATTTCTGGTGATTTGGAGAGCAGAAGGGAGAGAATCTAGACAAGGCCACCTTTGCCTAGTATAGTCATCATAGCCCTTACAGGGCATGTCTAGAATTCTGCCCAATTTAGGTGCATCAAACTACACCTATACTCCCCTCACCAAGCTTGTAACAACCCCATTCACCACCGTGGCATTTGCCATAAGCTCAATCGGCTCTTACCTTGCCAGCCTGCCATCCAGTTAAAGAACCATGTCCTTCCACCCCTGTGCATTTAGGGCATCAACCAATCTTTTCATGCCTGGCTCCTCCAGGTCTTTCAGAATTCTTCCTTTCAACATCTTTCTCCTGCCAAAAAGGACAAATATGTCCTGTTCTTTTTTTAGATTCCTCTTCTTCTTCCTCTCCACTCCATGATTCTTCAGGAACTTTCACTTGTTTTCCTTTGACTGCAGACCTGGTTCTTTTTGCCAGGGAGGGTTCAGCAGATACAAATTTTGAAGACTTCTTGGTAGAAGTCTTGGATCTCTTTGGTGTAGAAGTGGGAACCTCCTCAGTTCTACCTCTTTCCTGACGGACCAATTCAATCTCCTCCTCCTCTTCTTCTGCAGCCACACAACTTTCCACAACTTTAGCTTTTCGCTTTTCCTTCTTTTTTTTCTTGTTTTCCTCTAAATCTTTCTGCAACTCAGCCTCACTTTGCTTTACCCTGCTTCTAATAGCTTTCACCTTTGGTACTGAAGGGACAGTAGACTTAGGAGATGACAACTTGCTCTTCTTTGTTGGCTTAGAGGCGGTTGGAGCCTTTTGAGAAGAAGCTTTGCGCTTCTTGGGATCATAGCTTGCCCCAACCTTCTTCAGAATGTCAGCCAAGGTTTCTTCCACAGATGAACCATGTTCATCTTGTTGTTCACTCATGTGTACAAGGCCTTCAGCAGCCTCCCCAGTTTCACTTCCCCCTGGCTTGTTGCCACTCTCCTCTATTCCTCCACAAATAGCAAGAATGTTATCTTTCTTTTTCTTTCCCTTTCTACTCGACTCTCCCTCATTTACATCTCTCACAGAACCCACCAACACAAACCTATTGTCCACTTTCTACACTACATCAGAAAAAACATAGCATGTATTTACCTCCCTAGGGTTTTCTTGATTCTTGTCTAAGTCAGAAGACCCACGTTCTTCTCCATCGCATGCAGAAACAAACGCTTCAGACTCAGAACTCGAGTCGGATGATTCCTTTTCAGAGCTCTCCTTTTTTTGGCTGGCTCTCAATTTTTTGTTTAGAGCCGTTCTCAGAGCACTAGTAGCCACAGTTTTTCTTGCCAACATTTTCTGCCGGCGAAATCTTAGTTTTGGATCGTCCCTAGGAGGTGCAGATGAGGGTGTGTTAGGAGATACTGGTGGGGGAGTTCCTGGATT